GGGGCGGGCGGCAGGGGCGGGGGGGGGCCGCTCCGGGGGGGGAGGCGGGGCAGCCACGTGCGACTCCCGGAACACAGAACACAAGACACCAGCTCACCGGCCAGAGACGTTCCACACTTCCGGGAAGGCGGCCTCGCAGGGCTCCGGGCCCCGCCCGCCAACCCCGGCGCCTCGACTGCGCATGCTCCTAGAGGCCTAGCGGAGGAGCCTGACTGCGCAAGCGTCCGCGAGCAATAGGCCGGCTCTCTGCTTTAATAGCGGACCTGGCCCACAGAAACCGGAAGCACTGCTTAAGGGACCATGTCACCAACTTGGTGTAACCAAGATGGCCTGGTCTTCACATTCCAGGCTTGCCTACTGCCTCCTGCCAGAAGCCTCGGGACACAGTGGGTCCCAAGCTTGTCTGCTCATTCGGGTCACGTGGAGATTTTTGAATTTCAAAGCCCAGAGCTTATCAGGACCAATTAAATAGTAATGTCTGAGATCGAAAGTGCTGGTTTAGTGTTTTGTCGACTTTCTGCTTTTGAGTGTTTGTGCCTATTCCCAGCCGTAGGATTTCGGCTTTCCCTTCTCTTGATTTAACGTCTGTATTGGCAGAGACTGAAAAATACCTTTTTGAATACTTTACCAACAAGGTGGTGTGCATCTATGAAGGGCTGAACTGATTTTATTATTAGAATGAAGATAACCATGAATATCTTTTTTTTTTTCCCCAGACAGGGTTTCTTTGTGTAGCTTTGGAGCCTGTCCTGGCCTCTAACTCACAGATATCTGCCTGCCTCTGCCTCCCCAGTGCTGGGATTAAAAGCATGGGCCACCACCGCCTGGCTACCATAAATATCATTACTGAAGAATGTTTTGAACACACTTTATCCCAGCCAACCTAATCCACCTGAAAAGGGATTGATTGGCCAGGCGGTTCCAGGACAGCCAGGGCTACACAGAGAAATGCTTTCTCAAAAAACCAAAAGAATAAAGGATGGGCAGTGTTGATTGGAGGGACACAAGAAGGTCTCAACAAACCAACTGCAGAAACGCCTTTGTATGAGAAACTTGATCACAGGTCATTCTTGTGTGTCAGTATCTCCTCATGCTCACTCCTTTGCGCCTTGTATTCATGTTCCTTGTGCATGGGTATATTGCTGGCTGGCTGTCACTTCAGTCACCTTCCCACTTCCCTTTCTCACCCTCCATCTGCTCCACTCCAGATTCAGACACTCCCTTCTAACTCTGGTCTTCTCCCTACCAGTCTGTCTGTCTTTGCTTTTCCCTGAAGATCAGCTTCTAGAAGATTCTGTGACTGTTGTTTTCCAAGGACTTTGGCCTCAACCAAGCAGCCTGGACTTTGCATAATCTCCTAGCTGTCCTCTTAACTATAACCCTGGTAGAAAATATGGGGCCCAGCTAGGATTCAGGCTCTTCTCAGACCCCAACATCTCGCCCCTGCCTCCTCCCAGGTGGGGTATGTAAGTCATGAAGGACAAAGCTTAAGATTTACGTAGAACTATTGCATCCATGTTGTAGTTAGGGGCTTTCATTTACTAGTCTTCTCAATCACTTTGTTCTTCATCACAAAGGAGACTGGCACTTTTCTCATCCTTGGATTCCAAACCCAACTTTGAGGCAACTTTTGACGCTATTAATCAGAAACAACAGCATGTGATTTCCAAGCCTAAATCTCAAGAAAACTTGTCTGTGGCCCCTGTACCTTTGCCATTGGCCTGAAGATGAAATCTCTGCACTAGTCTGTCCCAAGAAGAAAAGACTGGAGAAACAATGCCAAGCCATACCAGCCAAGCCCAGCATGGATTTGTGGCAATACATGACTATAAGCCATTGAGTTGTAGAGTGGTTTGTCAGTCAGCAATTTGGAAACAATAACCAATACACCCTTGGCTGGCTTATGTTTATATAAGAAAAATGCTTAGCTGTAGTTGGATTTTTCTTTGGGCCACCAGCTCACAAAAAAAAAAAAAAAAGACAGACTTATTAATTTTGGAAGTTGGTCAGATAGCTTAGGCTTATTTCTAATTATTTCTTATATCTTGAATTAACCCATATCTTATAATCTACATTCTTTTATTTGACTCTGTCACCTTTATTTTATAAAGCCCATGCTGATTGTTCTGCATCAAAGGCATCTCTATGCCCCCCAAAAACATGCCTAGCTACTGGCGGTGCAGCTTTTTATTAAACCAATCACAGTGCCATATCTTTACACATTGTAATTAAATATCTCACAACCCTCAGCCAACAAACATGCTCAAATTTACTTCTGTCATCTTTTTTTAAAAGATTTTATTTATTATGTATACAACATTCTGCTTCTACGTATATCTGGACACCAGAAGAGGGCACCAGATCTCATAAGGGATGGTTGTAAGCCACCATGTGGTTGCTGGGAATTGAACTCAGGACCTCTGGAAGAACAGTCAGTGCTCTTAACCTCTGAGCCATCTCTCCAGCCCCCTATTTCTGTCATCTTTTAAACAAACAAATCTTTCTTAGAACCCTGGGATCACCCTATTCATCACTGATCATTGCCTTTCCCTTCATAGCCACACCATTTAAAAACAATGTAATCAATCCTCTTTGCCCATTCCCACTTTCATCACCACCACCATTATCAGCATCAAAACTTCAACCATTCCCAAAAATGGAACCAACAGTACACAGAGCCTTTGGACCTCTCACTCAGCTTCAACCACCATCCGATTTTGGCCATTCTGGTTGCATCTGGCAGTCTCCATTCCTAATCAAAGTCTTAAATACCCTTAAGCCCAGCCTATCCAAAGTGTCTCTTCTTACCCCTGTGAGTGTTGCCTCAGTCTACCCACCAACTCACCACAAATGTTCCATCATAATTGTACTAGTCATTTTCAATTGCGCCCAAGGAAGACCTTGGCCCTCTAGCTTCTAGGCTGAGCCATGGTTCCATCAGAAAGGGGTATTCAGGGAGACTACAGCTGGCCCTCAACTACATGAGAATTCTGTTACGAAGGGGCTAGTCTTTCCCCAAAACTATTCCAGTTATCCTCTGGTCTCTGATTATCCCATGGAGACCTCTGAAACCAACTGACATCTGTGATTTTATCAGGTAGAGCATACTGAAAACCAGACTACTCTGTCTGTCACCACATAGCCCATAACTGAGGAAGAAGTCCCTTCCAGAAGCTGGCCCCTTCTGCTCTAACATTGTCTATGAAAACAAAGAGTGATAGTGATAATTTTTTTGAGCCAATGCTTGACAGGATAAATATGCTGCTAAAGAAAATGCACTTTTGGTTTTTTGAGACAGGGTTTCTCTGTGCGGCTTTGGAGCCTGTCCTGGCACTCACCCTGTAGACCAGGCTGGCCTCAAACTCACAGAGACCCACCTGCCTCTGCCTCCTAAGTGCTGGAATTAAAGGCGTGTGCCACCAACACCCAGCTACTAAATGCACTCTTAAGAGGACCTTGTCATCAGAGATCTGGTGTTGAAGAGGTGGGGTATCTGTGCAACTGGGTAGGAGGAGGCCTGTGAGTGTTTAGATGCAGTGGTGTTTCAGCTACCCTGCTGGTGAGAAGCATGGGGTTTGGAGTTCTGAGACCTGACTTTGCATCCTGTTTCCTGTTCAACAGTGATGCAGTTAATTTCCGTGAGATCCATGTTTTCTGTAAATAACAGCTATAATGTTGGTGGGCCACAGTTGTAAGAACTGGATGAGATGATTAGCCTGAGTGAGATGCTTAACACAGGACTAAGTAGTTAAAACAGCAGCCTGTTCCCTTGAGAGACAGAGCAGTTGCCATGCTCATCTTTCTAGGGAAGTCTCCTCCTTGGGTCCCTTGGTCTTCTTGGCTTGTTCACTTCTGTGTTGAAGAAGTCTATGTGGCAAGTAGTGACAGTGGCCCCTGGCCAGCAGCCAGGTAGAACTCCAGGCCTTCAGTCAGCAGCCCTGAAGGATCTTGCCCCAGTCACACCTTCAGACAAACTAGCCCTGGCTCATTTCTTCACTGCAGCTCAGGAGAGACCCTGAGTAGAGAGAGATACCAGCTGTTCCCAGACTCCTGACCCACAGAACTGTGTGATAAGAAATGCTGGTTGTGGAGGTGGACATGATGGCACACGCCTTTAATACCAGAACTCAGGGGGCAGAGGCAGGTAGTTCTCTGTAAGTTCTAGGCCAGCCTGGTTTACATAAAAAGTTCCAATACAGCCAGGACTACACAGAGTGACCAAACCAAACACAAAAAATTAAATGCATGTTGGAAAAGAAAGTGAAAAGAAATGTGTGATGGCTTAGAACACCAAGTAAAACAGGAATTTATTATTTGGCACAGCTAACATATACAGCTTTGTTTGTTTTGGTTTTGTTCTTTCGGGATAGGATTTCTCTGTATAGCCCTGGCCATTCTAGAACTCACTTTGTAGTCCAGGCTGGCCTCGAACTCACAGAAAGCCTTCTGCCTCTACAGAAGACAGAGAAATCCTGTCTCAGAAAAAAAATGTGGTGGTTCATATCTGCAATCCCAGTATTTGGGCTGGAGAGAGGGCTCAGAGGTTAAGAGCACTGGCTGCTCTTCCAGAGGTCCTGAGTTAAATTCTCAGCAACCACATGGTGGCTCACAAACATCTGTAATGAGATCTGGTGCCCTCTTCTGGCATGCAGGGATACATGCAGACAGAACACTCTAAATTTAACAAAAAAAAAACCATTAAAAAAAAAAAAAAAAAAAAACCAACAATTTAGCACTCAGGGCAGGCAAATCTCTGTGAGTGCAAGACCAGTCTGGTCTACAGAGAAAGTTCCAGGACAGCCAGAGCTGTTACACAGAGAAACCTTGTCTCCAAAAACAAACAAACAAAAATAATAAAATGCTTATTATTTTATTCATATGGGTGCTTTGCCTGCATGTGTATCTGTGCATCATGTGGGTACAGTGCTCACCGTGGCCAGAAGAGGACAGCAGATATTCTGGGACTGGAGTTACAGAGGGGTTTGTGCCACCATGTGAGTGCTGGGAACTGAACCCCTGTTGTCTTGGAGAACAACCGGTGTTCCTAACCACTGAGCTAGCTCTTCAGCCCTAATTCAACCATTTTATGTTTCTTCCAAACAAAACTCAGATATATACTGTGCTAAGAATGGGTGTGCACGTAAAATCAGTAATTTCCTAGGGCAGACCACACAATCTCTCAT